ACTTCTTAAGTCAGTTTAACTGCAAGAAACATCAGGAAACATACATAGCCTTTGAGTCAGCTGAACACTGGGTTACTGATACTACACAGAGACAGGAAGAATGACTGTTAAAAACAAGTGGGTGTCTCTGCCATTCCATCCCATCGTGAACTTAATTTTCAAGTGTTAGATTCATTCTTGGAAATGTAGCAAATTCCATAAGATATAATCCAATGAACTATGTAGAAAATCAATTACATGTTCCGAATAGCTATTTTGTTCTCACTGTTTATGTCTTCGTCATTATCAACAGTGGCTTATGGTAAGGATTGTTCAGATGAAAGGTACAACATGTTATTTACAAAGAACAAAGACAGACTTTAAGGACATTTTTAAGGAGAGAAAAGATATAGTTACCTATGTGCATACCTTTCTATAACATGATGTACATATGCATATTCCATATATATATTTCATAATATATAAAAATGAATACATACTCACTATATGTATATATATATACATATATACATATATACATATATATATATATATACACACACACACACACACACACACTTCTACTTTTGTAGAATGTGCTTGACAGAGACGCTCTTTATTCTGCTCCATTTTTTAATGCTTTGGAACAGCATGACCTTTATTCAGCTGAAAGGACCCTTGTCAGGAGTTTGAGTACTCATGTTTGAGACCTTGTTCTGCTACTAATTACCTGTGTGACCTGGGAAAATTATTCTTACCAATCAAGTTTCAATTTCCTCGTCTGCCCCATGAAGGTGCTGGGCAAGGTGATCTCCCAGGCCCTCCCCTGCCCTAATTTCCAGGGTTGTCTGACTCAGGGTCCACTGTGAGCGCTGATCTAATTAATTTTCTCAGTCACCCTCACGACACGGGATGGAATATATTTCCTCATGATGTTCCAGAAGGGGATTCATGCCTGTCTGTATCTGTCTGTAAGGATTGCAGTTCAGCTCAATCTGTAATTCTGGTTTTCCTGAAAGGCAGAGAGTTGAGTTTATGACCATGTACGGCAACTGCGTGGAGTAACCACTCTCTTTTCTCTGTTCTTCTTACATCAACCTTGAACCTGCCTGCCTCCTGACAAGCTATGGAATGGTGTCAAATCAATTTTAATGCCCACACTGTTACATGCGATGCTCTGTGCTCAAGACTGTTTCCTAAACATACAGTATAAACAGATGAGCTTTCTAAAATAGTTATTAAACTGTTTAAACGGGAACAAGTCCTTGAAATAGGACCACGTATCATTTTCATGAGTCACATTATCATTTGCATTGTACATAAGTAATTATAGAGCAGTTTCTAGCTGTTGTACTTTTTGCTGGGCTCCAGGAATAAAAACGTAAGACATGGCTATCAAGCCTCAGAAGCTTAGGATCATGTAGGAGCTTAGGAATGGCGCATACTATATAAAGTATATCCATCATTTAAATGACTTCAGACCACTAGTGGGTGCTGAAGATAATTTGGAAATTCTTTACCGGATTTGTCCATTACCATAAGGACAGGCCTTAGGCAAATTTTTATGCAACTATCTAAACAAGGGGAATTAAACAAAGATGTGGGTGTGGATGTATTTAGTGAACACTCTGAAGAGAACGCTTAGGGACATGCAGTAACATACAAATTTCAGGCACCATCTGAGATCAGATGGCCAGGGCCCGGCATGCCGGGGGCTTTACACTGGGGACTCATTGTTCTTCCCTCTTGCTGAGTAATGTGGTGTTTATTTAGAAAATAATTTTTAAAGAAGGTTTGAATAAACCCAACAGTGGTTGTAGTGACATTATAAGTAGGGGTAAGAGACAGTTAAAATAGTGAAACAATAAAATTCAGTAAATAACTGGAGAGGGAGGAAGCATAAAGAATTTTGCAGGATTTTGAGACTCTGCCCCAATTGCAGACTGAGCTTGTTACCTTTCATTGGCGTTTACCAAGGGCACAGACTCCTCAGTCAGAGACAAAGGGCTTTATTGCTCAGGAGCAGCAGAGCTGTGCAAACATCGGCATGGATCCCCTTGCCTCCAGCTCACACAGGGACAATGTCAGGGCACCAGCTGGAGACCGTACAGGGGGTAGGTTATTGCCACAGTGGAGAAGCCCACTACCAAAGCACCGAGGGTCCAACACCTTTGGGGGGGGGCAACAAGCACTGTAACTGTCGTAAACAAACCGCACCTCTTGGGGGTAGCCCTGTCAGGCTTGAATTGCCTTGACCTCTTAACTGCCCACATGACCAGCTACAGAACCTGCTGAGTGTCAGGAGAAAGAGCAGCCTTGCAGCCTGGCTAACTTGGCAAGAAAGTGCCGTCAGGTTCAAGGCCATGGTGCCCATGTTCCAACATGAGGAAGATTCAAAGCTGATGCCCAGGTTTCTCATACTAGACCTTTGGCCTCCGAAGAGCATGGCCTCAGATTCAGTCATCTTTACTTCTCAGTGGCTGGCCCAGATGATGTGCTGTCTTCACCTCTCTATATATTTTGTCTACATCTCTATAAGTTTCCTTGGGGCTGCTGAAGCAAATGACCACAATTGGTGGCTAGGAAGGGAGGAAGGAAGGAAGGAAGGAAGGAAGGAAGGAAGGAAGGAAGGAAGGAAGGAAGGAAGGAAGGAAGGAAGGAAGGAAGGAAGGAAGGAGGGGGGAGGGAGGGAAGGAAGGGAGGGAAGGAAGGAAGGAGGGAAGGAGGGAGGGAGGGAGGGAGGGAGGGAGGGAGGAAGGAAGGAAGGAAGGAAGGAAGGAAGGAAGGAAGGAAGGAAGGAAGGAAGGAAGGAAGGAAGGAAAAGGATGGAAGGAAAAGGATGGAAGGAAAAGGATGGAAGGAAGGACCAGACATTTATTCTGTCAACACTGAGGAAGCTAGAGATTTGCAATCAAGGCATTAGCGAGACCAAACTGCCTCTGGAGGCCCTAGGGAAGAACCTCTCTTGCTCCTGCTGCCTTCCAGTGGTTGCCAAATCTCTCAGCATGCTTCAGCTTGGAGCTCTCTGACTCCAGTCTCTGCCCCACTGTCCCCTGGCCTTCTCCCCTCCAGAGGCCTGTGTCCTGTGTTATCTCCTCCTCTTATAAGGACACCAGTGCTTGTATTTAGAGGCTACCCTCATCCAGCATTGCAAACACCCTATTTCCAAATAAATTCATATCCTTAATGTTCCGGGAGGAATTTGGGGGGATACCTTCAAACCCATTATAACATCTACATCTGTCTCTAATCAGTGACTATGTAAATGAATCAATACACGAAGGAGCAAATGAACTGATGAATGGATTCAAGACCCTGTAATTGGGTGAGCGGTGGGCCCAATGGCAGAAAAAGTACGAGACAACAGGAGGATTTCAATTAGCCATGCTGATTGAACTTGATAATGGGACTTAAGATGGGGAGGGCCCACTGGCAGTTAGCAAAAACACGAGTGTTGTCTCGCCACTGTGTGCTAACTGGTGTGATGTATTATTCTCCTAGTGACATCACATCACCCTAGTGTTTAGTCCCCGTCACTTAATCTATATCCCACCCAACCTGGAGCCTCAGGTCAGGCCTTCGCACCCCATGATGTGTGTTTTTATAACCCCTCCTATACTTGGCACTTAAATTTCCTCCTACACTGCCATACCCTAGCATAACCTATAATCTGCTTTTTATTTAGATTATATGTCTATTGCAAATGTTTATGCATTTCTAGTGTGATATGCACTTGGAATTCATATAGCAAATCCCCTATTTATTTTTTAATTCCCAATTTCCCACTCTCCTCACATGATATTATCTAAAATGATGCTAGATACATAATTACAACTTAAGGAGTACCTACTGATGAATCTTCCATATTTATGTTTATGCAACCTTTCTATAAGTAGACTAATTCAGATTTTTGTATGAATTTTAACATAGTTAAAAATAAGGGAACAAGCTAATAACACTTGTTGGCATATATTTATAGAACTCTCCTTTGCTGTTAGATAGAAATGCATAGAAAGGCACATTTTTGTAAGATTTTCTGTGCAAATTGCTTTTAAACAGTAGGTGATACTCACCCAGCTTCGAATTTTTACCATTTTTGTTTTATCTCTAATGTTAATACACCATTTTCACTACCTCTATGTTTCAAATAATGAAACCCACTTTGTTATGTTCTTGGAGGTTATGCCGGTAACAGCCGGTTGTTAATGAAGCAAATGCCAGTTCCTACCCAGCACATCCTGAGACCGATTCAGTAGGAGGGTGTCTCTCAAGAGTTCTTTCTTGGCTTTGCAAATGCATCTGATCATTCCGTATTTAATTTTGTTTCAAGGCATTTTCACCTTGGAGGACAACATGATGTGTTATATTAAAGGGTCTCCTGTGTGCATGGTCCATAGTTTAATTTCAATTTGCCAGGATTTGTCATAGCTTAATGTAACTATTTTGGGGGGAGGGAGGTATGTATACCTAGAGATGCATTATTGTGAGTACTGTATCTACTTGATTCAGGTGATAGTTGTAAAAGCTGGCATCGTTGGAATGCAATCAGTTTTAGGCAAATCCTGCACAGGGTTTGGAAAGTTGTATGGAAACAGTTGCCACTAAGGATACATTCATTTCAGTGGCAGTATTTAGATGTCCTAGTCAAAGAAACTGCCAGGTGGTTTCTCTCTTATAGGTGGCATTTCCTAACACACATATCCCATAAACAAATTGTTTCCTAGTCCTTGTTCATGGAATGGGCAAACTTATCACCGAGTTCCTCATCATGCCCACACTGTTTGAAGTCCCGTGGAGGTAGAGGAAAAAGGACATTGAGGAGGACCGAGGAAGAACAAGCCTTCTCACATTTCTGCATTGTTAAGTGTCATAGTCACTCGGCCTTATCACTAGCGTTTGGGCTTTTTATTTTTTTAAATATACCTTTCATAATGGCTTGAGACAGCAGGAGCTTCTTCAAAAGATAAAATAAATTTAAAAAAAATAGAAATTACTCCTATCTAGCTGTTTGAAGGGAAAAGGAAATGCAGCAATGAGGTATTTACTCGCTAGCTTTGATGGAGTCACAAACTGACAGATGAGTTTATTGCAGAATGACAAAGCCAAAACACAGATGCTCTCTGAGGGTTGGGGGCCACTGAGGGCAGCCATTGGTCCTGACCTTGACCACAGCAATACCCAGAGGTGGCCTGCAGGGGGCCCCAGTTGAGTGGCCACAGGCTATACCCAGGTTCTCCATCTTGAATGCTGCTAATTCCAGATTCTGGGGCTTCCTTCCATCTAGAAGTGTGGAACACAAAAGGACACATGTTAGGCAGTAATCCATCAAAATAAGCGACAGTTAAATCTTGTCACTGCTGCCTTCCTGTTCCTTCCATAATCCTGCCCAGTAACGTGTCTTAACAAGACACAAGAACGTTATGTAAAATACAGACATCTGCATTCAGTGTAAGTAAACTCCGTAAAAAATAAGCAGTTTAAAAAATGATAGAGGGAAGACAAAAATAAAGGTTACTCTAATGTAATATCTTAAAAAGTTAGAAGCTACCAAGAAGAACTCATATGTAGAAGATGTGACCTTTTAATTTTGATAATGGGAGCATGGAAATGTAGCTAATTGAATTTCTTTACTCAGGAAAGAGTAAACTGCAATTTTTTCCTTCTGATCTCACATACTATTTCAACAGATACTCAAAGATCAATTTTAACAATTATGAATAATGTGGAAACATAGCCATTCTCACAGGTAAATGAGCCAGAGAGGGCTTGGGATGGCCTGTTGGAAGAAGCTTTGAGTTGAATAATACGCAGAAATTTAAAAAAACATCTCAGCTCACTAAGTGGTTTTTGAATAAACAAAGGAATGGCTAATGCAGGTTTTCTCTATTTCTCTCTATATTTTTTCTCCATCTCCGCTTTCCCTGGCACAAACTCTTACTACATTTATGTATAGATGGGCCTCTTAGAATTGACTGAAGTTTTAATTACCTGAAGGAAATACCATTACCTTTTATTGTGCCTTTAAAAAGCAGCTGGCTTTCTGGGAATGTGGTATTAAGTGTGTAAGAGTATCATATGGTCTATTTAGATCCCAGCTCATCCATTTCAGGGTTCATGTTCAGAATAACTTCACTCCTCACTGCAATTCACTTTCCTCCTCTGCAAAGTGGAGAAGATATTAGTACCTGTCTTAGGTTCATGTTCAGTTTTAAATGACTTAACAAAGGGAAGGAGTTTGGAAAGATTCCTGGAATGCAGTAGACAGTCAGTACTAACTGCTATGGTAAAATTAAATCCTCATAAAATCACTTTGTTATTACAAAATTAAAATATAAACACCAGTTAATAAATAAATATGTTTGCTTATACGCAAAGTAATTATTGTAAGGCTAAAATTAAAAGAAAATGTAGCATTCCTTTGTAGTTAAGCTGGGAATATAACTGAACACTTTCAGTTATAATAGGCAGTCTTGGTACAATATTTTTTATAATTACCTGATTTGAATCACAAGCTAATTTTTTTGGATGCAAGGAACTGCATTTTAAAATGAAAGAATTACAAACACAAAGAGGTCTATTTGGGGAAAGGCTGTTCCTATAATGGTGCTTATGGATGTACTTCTAAGGTTATGCTTCAGAAGTAAAAAGCCTTTACTCACATCCGTCCTCCACTATTGCTCATCATCTGTATGACCTTGGGAAAGTTGCAGAGCCTCAGAGATGCACTTTGTAAAAATTGACAGCAAGAATATTTACCTTGGAGGACTTCCGCCAAGATGGAGACGTAGGTGGAGGAACCACCTTGCCTCTGTGCACAACCAAATCTAAGAACAACTATTTTTAACAAAAATCACAACCAAGCCACACGGAAAATCGATAATACGGAGTCCAAAGACAACTAAATACTCAGCTAAATCGGTAAGAGAAGCGAAACCAGCAGTGGAGCAGGTTGGCAAGAAAAAATCCCCGGGTGGTGCGTGGTGCGCAAGCTGCCGAAGGCGCTGATCGCGAGCTAGCTGCGGGAGCGCACAAGGAAGAGGCGCGGCGGGCTGTCTGCGGTCGGTAGATCGGTCGCGCATCTGCGTGCGGAGAAACCAGTGAGAAGGGAAGCCTGCTCGGGACAGCAGGCTCGCACAATTCCGATCGGATAAACAAGCCCGGGGGCGAGCGGTGTGACTGGATGGGCTGGGCTAGCAGAGAGGACCGCCATTGCTCCCTCTCTGACCACGCCCCCACACACAGCATCACAAACCCGTGACCTGGGTCACCCGGTCCTGGTAAACAACTAAGGCTTCGCTCCGCTTACTTAACAGCATGAATAGACCAAAAATGGCTCTAGGACAACTCAGAGCCCCAGAACCGATAGATCTAAGCGATGAAGAAATAGCCAGTCTTTCAGATGCACAGTTCAAAACACTGGTTATCAGGATCCTTACAGAACTGGTTGATTTTAGTCACAAATTAGAGAAACATATGGAAGCTAAACTAATTGAATTGAATGGTAATACAAAGGAAACCAATAGTAACGGAAAGAAAATTGGGACTCAAATCAAGGGAGTGGACCAGAAGGAAGAAAAAAGTGATCAATCAGAAAAGAATGAAGAAATAAGAATTCGAAAAAATTAGGAGACACTTAGGAATCTCCAGGACATCTTTAAACGTTCCAACATCCAAATTCTAGGGGTACCAGAAGGGGGAAAGGCACAGCCACCAGTGGAAAACTTATTCGAACAAATAATAAAGGAAAATTTCCCCAATTTGGCAAAGGAAATAGACTTCCAGGAAATCCAGGAAGCTCAGAGAGTCCCAAAGAAGTTGGACCCAAGAAGGAACACACCAAGGCACATCATCATTACATTAGCCAAGATTAAAATGAAGGAGAGAATCCTAGAAGCAGCAAGAGCTAAGGGGACAGTCACCTACAAAGGAGTTCCCATCAGACTATCAGCTGATTTCTCAAAAGAGACCTTACAGGCAAGAAGGGGCTGGAAAGAGGTATTCCAAGTCATGAAAACCAAAGACCTACAACCAAGATTGCTCTACCCAGCAAAGTTTTCATTTAGAATGGAAGGACAGATAATGTGCTTCTCAGATAAGACCAAATTCAAGGAGTTCATCACCACCAAGCCCTTATTATATGAAATGTTAAAGGGACTTACCTAAGAAAAAGAAGATAAAAAAGATGAACAGTGAAAGGACAGCAAACTCACAGTTAGTAACAACCACACCTAAAACAAAAGCAAACTAAGAGGACAGCTAGATCAGGAGCAGAACCATAGAAATGAAGATCTCATGGAGGGTTAGCAACAGGGGGGTGGGAGGAGGAGAAGGGGGGAGAAGGTACAGAAAATAAGTAGCATAGACAGTAGATAGAAAATAGATAGGGGGAGGGTAAGAATAGTAGGGGAAATACAGAATCTAAAGAATTTGAGACACGTGTTCATGAACTAAAGGGGGAAATGGTGGGGGAGGGGTATGCAGGGTGGAGGGAAATGGAGGGGGGGAATAGAGCAAATGTAATGGCATAATCAATTAAAAAAAAAGAATATTTACCTTGGAGAAGTGAGAATGAAATGACTGTTGGGTAGAGGGCCCAAAATAGCCACTTAATACATCTTAGGTATCTTTGTCTTCTCTCCCGGAGCGCACATGAAAGCCCTTTGGGAAGAGCTGTGTCTACTGCAAACCCATTCCTTAACCTAGATCCCATTGTATTTGTGGGCATTTTATTTCTCATCTGCACAGGAAGAAATAGACATGGAGGGATAGACAGAATGTCCTTGTATTTGGCTTGATTACACTGTACGTGGTTTTTTTTTTTTTAATGAATATGTTTTAGGTAATCAGAGTTTGGTTTGAAATCAGAGTCCTTGTGTGAGTGTGAGTGTGTGTGTGAATTTGGGGGCAGAATGTTCATTTAAACCTAAAAAGCAGCAGCTATTTGGAATCACTTGTGAGATTTCTCTGTACCGTCTTCCCCAAAAGACAGTAACCCCTGGATCTAATCACACCTTTGATGTCAGTTTCTAGTCTCCAGGTAATTATTTAGGGATAGTTGAGCCAGTTAAATGGCACCATAAGGAATTCATCAGCCAAATCCAGGAAGTGGGGTGTATTACAAAACTGGTCTCATTTTCTCAAAAAAAAAAAAAAAAGTCAACAGCATGGGATAACAAAAAAAGGAATGAGTGAAAAAGACTTAAGGGACAAAACTCCTAATGAGTAGCTCTCTTTGGATCCTGATTTTCTGAGAATTAAAAAGGATTAGTTTTAGCTTTTGAGAGAAATTGGAATATGGCCTGGGTATTAGTCACTATCAATAAATTCCAGTTTGTTCTGGTATGTGATAATGGCAATGGCAATGGTGATTAGGTTGGTTAATGTCCTTCTCGTGGTTTAATCTGAGATACGCACAGCAACACACATGGGCTACTGGAGCTGAGGCAGGTAAGGGACACCTGGAACTTCAGGTGGGATCTCTACTGTTTGCACGCATTTGAAGACTTTGTACTTAAACATTGAAAACTAATAAAGATTTAATGTAAGCTTCTAAAGAGTAGCTATCATGCCTCTCAGGGGCTTTAAACAATTATTTATACATTAGGAACTTAGTAGTTCCTCATACAGGATTTTTGTAGATATTTGTAAAATGTAAATATTTAAAGATTGATACTCTTACAGAACAGACCTGGGGGGGGAGGTGAATGATATACTATTACCGAAGAGGACCCCCCATTTTTCTCCAGGATTCACCCCCCATTAGGTTCACTATGTCTGCCACCAGAGGAAAGATGTCTCTCAATGCCAGAGATTTGTGAAAAGGAAAGGAAATGTTTATTTAAAAGCTATTAGGACTTAAAGTAGTGACCTAATGTCTTCATTAAAATATCAAAGTCCTTTAGGATACCCACAGACACACACACACACAGTCCTTCCTTCTCCCTCTGCCCTAGTCTGGGGTACCATGTCTCAGGAAAAAAAGTAGAAGTCCGTGATTCAGACTCCTGGTGCAGTCAGCTGTGTCACCGCCACAATCTACAGTTAATCCAAAGCCACGTGGCACCTTCTTGTGGCCCACCAGCAAGACTCCTTTCACCCATTTTATTCCAGGCAATGTCTCTCCTGCTTCGTAAGCCATGTGGCAAAAGGGAGCACCCCAAAGCCTCGTGGTCCTGCCTGCCATCAAAGCCTGAGTAGTCACCACTCTGCCAAAGCTGCATAGTTCTCTCCCTCACATGAGCCAATCTTCCTCTGCAGCCCCATTTCCAACTCCTCCTACAATCAATTATACCTGCCAGCACTCCCGTATTCTTCTAGCTTTACTGGGCTACCGTAGTAAGTCTGGGCAGGTGTGGCCTCGTGGCATGGAGCCCATCATCTCCAAGCTCTCACACAGGCACTGTAACCAGGGGGAGTTGCCTCCCAGTTACATCATGGGTTGAAGTCACTCCCATCCCCCTGGCTCATGGCATGGCCACAGCTATTCAACCAGTTGTTTAACAGCTATTTAACAGCATGAAACCAGTTAAAGGTTATAGATATGTTAAATGACCGTGCCAGAGGTTAGCTTCAAAACTGTTGCTATATAAAACAGTTCTGAATGGCCCTGCTCCATGTGTCCCATTCCCCAGCTCAGACTGGTGGGGGTGAGGATATCGTATATATTTTTCTAATATTTCCTGGACATCTTGAGTTTTGGACCCTATTACAAATCCCTATTTGGGGCCCCTCTTCTTGGCTGCACCCCATGACAATGCCACAACTATAAAAACACTAACAAGATGTCTCTTCTTACATTAATTTAACTCACATAATGATGAGACATTTCTAACAATTGAATTACAAAAGGATTTAGACCTTTTAGTTCCATAGAGGCATTATGTTGCGAAGGTCAAATGTAGTTTGCATGAAGTAGGAGTTTAAATATGCAAAGTAGTGGCGATAATTCTTTTTTTTTTTACCAACTATAACTTGACTTAAAGCATAATAATCTTTAAGTTGAAGAATAACGGTGAGAGTTTGGGTGTTCCTGCACCCCAAACACTGTTTCCCAGTTGTCTCAAAAAACAGGAAACTGTCTTTGTGTGCAGAAATTTCAAGAAACACTAGGCATGCAAAGTCATTGAACATGATCGAATCCCAAACATTTTTCTATGCAA